GCGCATAATCATTTAATTAAAAAAAAAATTTTATTTTTGAAGTCGATTACACGAAAATGCACAGAGATATCCCGACAGGCTATGCATTTTTTAAGTTTTATAATTTTTTATAGGAGCTATCGTTATTTTTATGCCCGGTACCAACCGAGAACAAACACATGTATGTACATAAAGGCCAAGGAGGCATTTTCGACTCCATGAATTATATAATTTTTTAATAAGCATCACGAGAGGAATCTATTTAGCCATGTCATCTGTACTTCTGTCCAAGTGAAACAAAAGTTTTGCATTCCGAGTTTGGTGACAACAATTACATCGGTTGCATGCTGAATGTTTGTTTGAAAATCTTGCCATGTCCACGTCCGCCCTCACGAACCATGAAAGCCCGGATACGAGTTATTAAACAATAAAATTTCTGTGACATCATTTATTCTCGTTTTGTTAACATTTGTTACTAAATTCATTTTACCAATATTTCCTTGGATGTTGGGTATCTCACAACTATCAAACTTATCTGCAGCTTTTGTACTTCTTCTTTCTTGATTTGGCATAATGTCGAGTTTACGACTTGACGCCGATCTTCAAAAATATTGCATTTTCTAAATGTAATAAATAAAACACTTCTGCATTACACGACACGAAATTTTCGACCACATACATTACATTACTCTTGATTCACCAGTTTCAACTTTAGTTGATGGATGAAAATATATCAACTGATAAATCACTTTTCAAGGTTAGGTGCGGGCAAGTTATTACTCAACAGCCGTGGCCACAGTGAAAACAAGCCAATGCCCACTAATGAGTGAAAATTGGCCAACGAAATGGGAATAAGAAACAATTAAGTAAATTGTAAATTGCAATTTCAATGTAAATGCTCGCTGCAAAGTTCACGGCTCAGCCGGGTCTGTTATGGGGACTTCGACCGGGACAACCAATGGAGGTCTGGGTGACTAACCACTAGGTTGCTCGCCGACCCAAATCGCTCCGCTCCGATCCGGCAAGACTTTCACTTTTAACTCGACTCGGCCGACTGCTTCAAGTCGCGTCTGTTACCCGATGAGTTGGGTGTCCGAATCTTTTCCGGTGCACTGATATAAACAGATTTTTCTGAATTTAAGAATCACGAAAATTGGTACCATCTGATTTTTAAAAGTAGTCTTGATTTGTTTTGTGATTAATGCTATAAAATAATTTGAGATTTAGGGAGTTATACATCAAACAACTTTGGTCTCTTCAATTTCTGTGTTATACTATTAACCATACATTTTCAGATTGCAATACATCTTAAGTTAGAGTTTTGTTGTGTTGAATTAAAACTTAAAGATGTACTGATTAATGTAAAAAGGTCGCTACCAAACTAAGGTATATTATTTATATAGTACACATTATGCACATACATTTATATATCCTACTACTAGGAAACATTACGCAAAACACAGAAAAATGAAAATATGATTCCTCCCTTGGATATAAAATATAGTTTTGAGTCGATAATGTTTTATAGCTGCCAAAGTAATGGTTTGAATAAAGGGCAAAGTACAGGTGCACTTTCTTAGTTATCTTCCTTATTGTACAATAAAGGTTGCAACGCTATGAAGGACTAATGTTCAAGGCTATAAACTATCAGCATCAAAAGCCGTGCCGAGCGAGTCATGTCCGACTGTCCGTTTTAATGTTCTATAGTAGTATATAGAGTATATATTAATAGTAATTGTCAAACAATCTTCGAACTCCAAATATTTACAAGAATAAAATTATTCTCCATATAGAAATATTTAAGCTTTTTATTCCGCAAGTTTTACTTTATTAAGATGCAATATTTAAAGGTTCACGGAATGTCTTGTAGTGTAAGAGACTTGTATTTAAAATGGATGATCGGTACGAAACTGTTTCATCTATTGTTAACAACATTTTGGAAAACACATTTTTGCTAAAATCGAACTCAAAGCTTTGCTACACAATAAGGCGGGCATGGTAGCCGGGTACTTTAACCTGATATTACTTCCAAAACACTAGGAATTTTACCTTCAAATTAGAAGTGCATATTCTAATAATAATAACGAATGACTGAATGACGAAATATCGGTGATGGTTCAAAGAAATGTGGTCAAAGTATCACTTCTCACTACTATGCAATTTAAATCCTCTAGAAATCCCAATAGGTTTCAAAGAGTAAGTGAGACTCACTTTGTAAACATGAGAAAAAATAAGGTTACAACTCGATGTTCCACGTTGCTGATGATACATTTTGACAAATAACATCACAATTATGCACATATAATTACTAATATGTAACTACCAAATCACATAAGAAGACGTAAAACCAAGTGTTGTATAAGTGAGTTTATAATTTAAATAAAAACATATTCTGCCTAACAAATTTTCAAATTTCAGTCAACCAAAAACATTTAGAAATACAGTTTTTTAAAATAAAGTTCAAACATAATATTTTTTTAGCAATTAAAAACTCTGTACTTATAACTACATTTAATTGACAAAATATTTCCAAATTACTGTTTGTATGAAACAAAAAAAAGTGTGCAAGTTCTTTAAATTTTTGGGATTGTCTGGAAACCCCTTAAATGCTTCAAGATGACCTTTGTCCAAAATAGAAAAAGATGAAAGGAAAAAGGAAATAAGTGTTTGTAGTTTATGTCATTTTAGGTGTTTTGTTTGAAATTTAAATATTTAAAATAAAAAGTTTATTGCATTTGTTCTATGTCTCTATATACAGTAAATGTAAAACTATTAACTATTCTAGATATATACATAGCAATTAGTATACTAATTTTAATAGGTGATATCTAAAAAAATGGGAGACTAATGGTCTTAAAAATTTGTTATCGACCAGTAATTTCAAAAAAATTTAAATGAAAATTTTATTTTCAATGAAAAAAAAAAAATACGAATACCATTTAAATACTACATATACACTGTATATGCATATCTGTATTTCAGTGTAAAATTGTTATCCTAATTTTCGAACAATTCATAATAATTTATTGAAAATTCCGAAATACCCTAATCAAATATTTTTCATCATAAATCATTTGAGTATGTAAACGGCTATATTTTACCCTTCCCGAAAACTGGTCTATTGTCATGAAAATGTGTTGTGAAACCCAAAGCATTAGAAGTTTTTTTTAAATCTTAGTCAAGTTTATTTATCCTGTTTATATAAGTATATTTCTTCCGATATGTACATATATCTTTGTCTAGATATTTTGTGTCTGCATTAGGAGTAGCCAAATTTAAACAAAACCTTAATCTGTAAGCAACCAAAAAGAAGAGCTTTACAAAATATATTCTATGCTTGTTGCATACAATCTTGGTAATCTCTATGTTTTTATACTTTTGTCGTAGGTCTAAGATATTTATCAATTGGCGTTATGTTTCTACACCGACTCATCGATTATGGCACACAGTTCGGCGCGTCTGTCTTTTACGTCGTTACTTTTACGTCACATTCACGCGAGTCAGCGGTTTTTAGGCCCCTGACCGCCAGCAGCTGCATCAACAATGCGCACGCTTCAATGTCACGACGGATGGTCTGCCATCAGTTGCGTCTTTTCGGCAATTTCGGTCATTGGACATTACATCATCGCAATAGTGGGGCGATAACGATGGCGACGACTGATGTGGAGGGATGAACGAGCGGCATTTTTCGGTCAAAGCCCTTGTTATGGCTGCAAGTAGCATGTAACCGCGGCGATTTGAGATCTTTGTGTTGATATGCAACCAACAATTAGTTTTCTTAAGAGGAATTAAAATTAAATGACCGTGAGTCTTCGCTCCGGCGGATCTTCTGTCGCTAGCATTCGAATCGGCCATAGACTGGCGATGCACTTTCAATGAGGGCTTGCCATGTTGCAACCGAGGTGCCAGTCAGGTCCGGCGTAGAATCTATGATAACTCTGAACCGAACGCAGATCTCTCCGAACCGGCCAGGGAGTGGGCAGTGGGCATTAATGCTCAGCGTCAATCAAGGTGGACGTGCAATGCAACACTTCATGCATTGTAAGGAGATCAAAAAACCGAGGCTGACATTGATAGTCAGGCCGAAGCCGGGCAATTGAAGTCTTGCTGGCTTTGCTTATTGTAATCGGCAATTGTTAAAGTGGTGCAGTGGTTGTTGCCACCGCCATGCGCTGTATGCTAATGCGACGCCGCCTGACGTTGCTGTCGTCTCCGCTGCCGCCTCGCCGCTGTATTAATTTCACTTTTACTTTTTATGATTAACATTTCCCACCCAAAACTGGGAAACTTTACATGACTTTGGCCCGTTGTTCACTTATCCACATTCGTACTTTCTGCACAGCCTCGCGCAATGAAATGTGAAATCTCAAAGATCGTAAACTCTGAAGACACCACCGCCGTGAAGACCGCCACTCGCCGAGGTGCTCAGCGGGCCTTAGCATTCGAATTATGGTTTTTGTTTTGGTCTTCTGTGCCAGCATCTTTTAATTACACGTGTTAGTCACCGAACTCTGCCAGCTGGCCCTTCCCGCGGGCCTGGGTGTCGCAATTGAAAGTGAAACTCTTCTTGCTTTCAACTCTGAGTAAAGGGTCGTGGGCCTTACTGGCCCCTCTTCCTCTTTCCTTCACCGTCCCAACTTCCTCGTGCCTACCCCACGCACTGTCCAAAGTGTGAAACGCTGTCATCGTCTGCATGAGTGCGCTGTAAGAGAAGTGAGTGCCGACTTTCTCAAGTCTTGCGCTATCAAAGATGAGCTGAACTAGTTGCACTTGGGATAGGTCGGCAACTTTGACGGAACACAGGTTGGAGGCGATATTGCGAGACTTGTCCCAAGAAAAGCCATGATAAATGAGTCTTCCGGGGCTCTCCTTGAAAAGGCGTTCAAACAGTTTTTAGAGTTTGTACTTTACTTTCGCTTAGTTTGACTGGAATCGCCATTGGGCGTACTAAGGGTGCTAGCTATTCACAAGGTTCGATCCTAAGCCACTTTTGCCACTTTGCTGCTGCGACTTGAACTCACTTTTCCTTTCCAGATAGGTCGATATGAATATACAGGGCGTAGTCCAACGATCCTGCTGATCCGACGGTGGTGGATTAGATGTCGGCGACTTTGTTTGGGTACTTCTGCTTCCTCGCAATCGCGGCGACTCTACTGAAAGCTGTGACAGATCGCTGCGCGAACCGAAATCCAACTGACGGTGAATGAAAAACTTTTGCTTAAAAGTAAAAAAGCAGCCAGCTGGAAAACGGCAGAAAAAAGTAAAATTATTATGTATACATGTGTTTGGAGGCCGACGGCGCAGCAGACGAAGCGGCAGCAGCAGAGCGGAGGTAACGAACGCAACCAGCAATACTTCAGCTCCAGACGGCAGTCGCACTCAGTCGATGGCTGGGATAGCCAGAGACTCGGGGGAGCGGAGCGGGGCGCGGACAACGCGCCGCAGCAATGCCAAAGACAAAAAGAGGCAAAGCCAAATTGCTCTCAAAACAGCAACATTGGCTGAATCTGAGACAGAGACGCGGCGGTAAACAAAGCCGAAGCGAACTGAAAAAGAGGCATCGCAAATGAGCGGACAATTGCGCAATGTGCCGCTGGCGGCTCAGAGTCAACAATAAAAGCAGCAACTTGGAGCGCAGCTACAAAGCTTACACCTCCCCTACACCTTCGAGCGTTTCGTCATTACCTTGCCCAGGTCTTTTTTGGCGCTCTCTGAGCGTCTTGTCAATCAAACTAGGCATGTTCATTTCCGACTGTGGAATTAAGGGAACTCTACTTTGTGAGAGATGGGTGCTGGATTCTCGTTGGAAATTGTCTGCTGGGGTATGATAAGGATGGACGCTTACTAATCAAACAATGCATCCTGCTTGAATGTGTTGTTATTTAACAGAATTTGTCGGAAGTAATATTCGATCCCTTATAACCCAGTGGCAACAATAGCTGAAGTCGAGCACACTTGATCGTGTATATGTGTATAAACTAACTAAATCAATTTGCATAAAATTTATAGGCGGAAATTTGAAATAGTATAAAACAATTATATTATTATATCAGCGAAATTTGTATCTATGATAATATATGGGATATTTCCTTAAGGCTCTACTTCTAGCTTAAAATATAATAGCCTGAAATGGCATTCAAAATGTTACCTGTGTTTTTAGTTTCCGAGTTCTGGAAAGGTGTCACACTCAAAAGACTCTGATAAATCTGTCCTTGAACTTTCTGAATATGGCTAAGACTGAGTCAAAACTGTCCAACACATATTAAGAGCTTCAAGAAAGAGGCAGAATTTCTTTACAAACAATATTGCGCAGGGACTCAATAGTACAAAATCAGTTGAAATTGACAGTTAGTGCCGCGGAGTTCTGGCTCCCTCTTTAAAAGGTGGCTAAGGCTTTTAATTTTAGTCTCTCCTAATGGTCAAATATGTATCTCGGCAACGCTCGCTTTAAAGTAGCTGAGCATTTCATCTTAACTTTTTACCAAAACGTATATATACGAAACTAAATCATTCCCGTAAGTTAATCGTACATGTATCCGAGCTTTTTGCACACCACAACCATTAGGGGCGCATAGGTCAAAGGGTCGGCGTCGCCACTCCCTTGACGCTCGCTGGCAGCTTCAGATGAACGCCGCCGATAGCTGGCAGAAAGTTAATTGCCAAGTTCGGGCTGGTTAACGAAAGTGGCCTGGAGTACTTAAGCAAGTACACATATGTAGGTACAAAAGTAGGTGTGCTGAGATGTGCTACATCTTATTGCGTGGCAAGCTTTAGCCAGTATTATTGCCGATTTTGCTATTTTCTCGGGGCCCCGTACGTCGGGACTGACTGGTGGGGGTGAAATAAAAAGCTTTTTATTAACAGAAATTTCACTTTTTCACTTAAAGAGTAATAGAATGAAGAAATGAATGTGTGGACCGTGATGAAAAATATTAAGCGAGCGCGGGAAATATACCATTCAGTTGGAATAAAACCCGAAGTTACTCCTCGGAACCAGCTTATCATTGGGCAGATTCCCTTGCTTGTTTTCTGCTTTCAATTCCCGCTGGTCAAGCTCCACCTCCGAGTGCTGGGAATCATTCTGCAGATCGTCGTCGCGCACAAAGTACACTCCATTGGCTCCGAATCGGACGCAGTTCAATTTGTACTCAAAGAATTGGTTGACCAGCACCTTGAAAACCACCGAGAGGCATACTTGAACATTGCCCTCGCCAATAGTCCGGATTTCATAAAGCCGTAGACAACTGAACAGCGGTAAAGGCAGCAGCAGCGGGACGCAGTAATCAGGTGGATTGCGGGCCGAGAACCCGAGGTTTGCCACTGTGCGCTGGTTCAGCTGAACGCTGAGATGCAAGCCCACGTCCATCCGACTGTACTCCACGATGGCGCAAATCCGTTGGTTGAACACCTCTCCGAAGCCGAGTACTACGCCCAAGCAGCAGCGGCAGGCAAACTCTGCGCAGGAGCACGGCTGCCACAGCTGGGGCAACTCCACAATGTTGCCATTCACGGGTGGGCGCCTGCCGCTCCGCAAAAGAGCCGAGTAACGCAGTGGCTCCAGCGGTTGTCCACTGAAGGGGTTGTATATCAGGAGTCGGGGAACTCCTGGAGCTGCATCCGATGCCTTCGTGGGGGGCAATGGCACAGACTGAGGACTTGGGTAGTATAGCTGAGCGTTCGTATTAAATGGCCTTAGGGCTGCCAGCAGACATATTAGTCTGGGAAAGTCTCGCAGCTGCCGTCGCATGACTGCTCAAGTTAGTTTCAGGTCCAGTTGGTGTTCTGTTAATAAAGGCACGGGGATTCCCAGGTGCGTGTTCTCGGCCGCAATTGTGAAAACAGAGTGTCTATTTGCATCCAGCGGAACTTTTCCAAATGCTCTGTTTACTATCACCGACCAGCCAAATGGCTCGGAAAATGTTTATTGACTTACATTACCTAGTTTTAGCTGACTGCGGTAAATGCATACCTGAAAATTGTGTCAATGCTAGATCGGTGCTATCGATACAGGTGAGCAGTTTGGAGGAGCCTTCATTCGCTTTGCTAGCTAATAGACACCCAGATAAGCTAGAACATAATTTGCATATTCATACAGAGGAGCTTATTAGGAGGCAACGGAAATTTGCACGCTTGAACATTACTCACGTGGGGGGTTTGTTTGTGACGGAGGAGTACACTAAATATGGTACATACTTGCATATGTATGTACATTTGTATAAAGAGTATATACAAACAAAATACTTTGACATAATGTGGAAAAATACGCGAATGACAACACAAGGGGCAAAGACTTATCCAGCATTTTAAATATTGTATGCTGGTTGGAGCAAGTGTTGGCGAATTTTTTTAAAATGCTGATTTGGATAAATGGATGCAAAAGAGCTTAAAATTAAAAATATTAATAAAAAGATATTATTGGTTTTCGGTTTATTACTTATGCTAGTGATATTATTGGTTCACTACCAATTATGCAAAATTGTATATATCGTTTAAAATGTATAACATAACATTTCTTATTAAAACCTAGTACAGAAATTTGACGGGGGAAAAGCCTAAACTGGCAGTAAAGTAAAGAGTACCTTGAAAAGTATATTTTCATTAGGCTATACGTTTATTGCTTCCTCCCTCCATCACTGCATTATACCTACCGATATTATTCAGAAAAAAAACAGAAGTCAACCTTCCTAGTTCTTTGACACTGAGTTCACCCAACTAAGCAGAAATCAACACACAAATAAGGTAAGGTACACAGTCAAGGCCTACAATACACCTATAATCCGAGTACCGTATAAACAATATCATTAAAATTATATAAAGATATCATTAAAATTTAAAATTTTCAAAAAGGTGTTTAAATATTTATATGAAAACCTTTTTTTTTCAGCATTCAATAACACATTAACAAATCCTTAAAATATTCATGTTTTTCATGCCACAGCTTAGTTCGTGCGAGAGCTTTAGGTAAAAGTAAATAAATTGTGTTTCCTGACTAGCTGTTTTGGAATCTTAATACTCAGCTGTTGATGTTGATCAAAAATATATATATTTTAAGGATCATAAATGATTCCTTCACTGCGTAATTACTTTTAATCCGATGACATCGGCTTTAAAACAGGCAGCTTTTGTAGATATACTGGCAGAGAAAGAGTATAACTTATAACTTAAAACGATTATAGAGTCAGAGTATAACTTAAAGGGTCAAGTCAATTGATAGGCAGAAAGTGCACCTACATATGCAGCTGAAATGTGTCAGGAAATTACATGACTTTTTGTAATAGGTTATTTTCATAGCCTGCTGAACCCCATAAAGTCGATTTAGCTATGTATATACATATGTCCGTTTGTCCGTCCGTATGAAGAAAAAAATGAAGAAACTATATCTAGAGCTACCTAAAATAATTTAACTAGTTTTTGATAATATTACTATTAAACGTCACAAAAAAATGTTAGCAATCACATCACAAGAGAACGGCTGGGCCAATTTGGCTCAATTTTTTTTCAGTTGTTTGTAATTGCCAGAAGGTTATAGCATAAGAAAATTTTGGGAAAACCTTCTGGAAAAGTCCCAGCGGCTCAACAGATGTACACACTGTTGTATGTAAAATTCTGAAACACCCTACAGAGATCATAGCTGCGTTGAGATTGTGTATCAATGAAATCGGTAAAAAAAATATTGAAACAAATAAATCGAGTTAACGAAGCATTACCAAATTGAGCTTAAACAATTGGATATAATGCCTGCTGTTAGACGATCAAGACTTGGACTGCGTTCAAGCAATGCAATAAGTAGTCCGAATTTCCGTAATAGTCGGACGCAAGAGGAACGTACAGAAATAATTGAAAGAGAAGAACGGCCACCAGCGACAACGTTGACAAATTTCTTTTCGACATGCGAAAGCAATCCGTTCGCAAGGGCTTTTCTCTATTCTGAGATGCCACATGGAACACTGCATCGAAGAAGTTTCAAAGCCGGAAGAGAGGTGATGCTGTTGCTGGCATCGCTGATGTCTATTCGACTGATGCGCTCGGACGAATATAAACAGTTCATCTACGTCAAGACGAATGCTTCTATCATCGCTTGCTTTTGGTGAACATTAGAGGCCCTACATCCTTCGAGTCGCTGCGTATGTGGATGGTGCGCTGTGCGCCACTTTTCGGGAGGCTTGCCAACGTTTGAACTTGCTCGAAAAGATACTCATTTGGACTCAACGCTCCCCGATGCCACTGTTTCTGAGTCAATGAATCAAATCCATACATTATTCGCAATAATCATAGCTACGTGTCATCCGTCGAACCCGACCACATTGTGGGACAAATACAAGGATCAAATGGTGGACGATATTTTCAACAGAGTACGCAGGACAACTTCTAATGTGCATGCTCATTTGCGGCAGTCTACTATCGACATTATAAATTCCAGCGCCAAATCGTTCAGTGCACGATACTTTTATTCGCGAATTTCAATGGGAGCAAAACTACAATCAGGATAACCTGGCCGAAAGAGTTCGAACAAATGTGCGGCTGTTGAATGCCGAGCAGAAGAAAGTGTACGATTCGATAATGAAGGTTGTTGACGATGAAACGGGAGCCTTATACTTAATCGATGCTACTGGTGGGACAGGCAAGACATTTGTCATTTCGTTGATTCTGGTAACGATTCGATTAAGATCTCAAATTGCGTTGGCTGTTGCATAATCTGGCATTGCTGCCAGCTGAACAACGTGATTCAAGCGACGATCATCAAGGGCAAATTTAAAGGAGAGGAAGTTCTTATCCCACGAATTCCGATTATTACAACAGATCTTCCATTCCAATTCAAGAGGATTCAGCTCCCAGTTCGATTGGCATTTGCGATGACAATCAATAAATCGCAAGGGCAATCGTTGAAAGTCTGCGGGATAAATCTGGAATATCAATGTTTTTCACATGGGCAGTTATAGGTAGCCTTTTCGCTTGTGGGAAAGTCGTCATCATTATTTATTTTTGCACCGGAAACCAAAACAAATAATATTGTTTATCACATCGCTCTCCACCGATTTCGAGTCAAAAAAATTTCACAACAAATTTAAATTACCATTATTCTATTATTACTCTGGGGTTATATGAAGTCGTGAAATTGGGGCGAGACAAAGTTTGCCGGGTCCTCTAGTTTATTTATAAATCTTAACAAATCAAGTTTTTTTCATACCTCATAATATTTGTCTACATTTAAAAACTAAAAACAGCTTCACAAACTCTCCAATAAATAAAAAAAAACTATTTTATAAGTTCACAAATTTTGGCTGAACAAAATAATAGGTGTAGGACGATTAATTTTCAAATCATATCGATTTTTCAATAAATTTGGTCCTGTTTCAGTTTTATATCAATAACCGGTATATCCGCCATTATTTTTTAGGACTTTCTCCATTCGTCTTGGCATGGACAATATTAACTTGCGACAAGTTTCAACTGGGATGTTGTACCAAGTTTTTTGGGCAATATCCCAAAGTTAAGCGATATTTTGGCAAAAAGTCCTTCCAACTTCTCTTTTAAGTTCACCCCAGCGATTCTCAATGGGATCCGGGGGCCACTCAAAAACATCCACATTTTGCTCCCGGAACCAATCCTTTACAACTCGCAATGAGTGTTTCGGGTCATTATCCTGTGAACTTCCATAAAAGTGGCATATTATCCTCGGCATATGGTAGCATCACCGTCTCCAATAAGGTCTTATGATCTAATGCAAATTTTTTCCTCATCTGTAATTTTGCCGTCCGGCGCAAAGGAACCCTTTGGGCAATCCTACCTGGTAGGTTTGATGTTGCCAATCGTCGCCGGACGGTTCGTGAGGAAATAGTATTCCCAATTTCCTTTGCAATTGTCCTGGATGACATGCATGGATCGCGTTTAACCAATTGAACGATGCGATTATCGGTCGTTGATGACGATTTTCTGGGTTCTCCCCGAGTTTCTACTCTGTTTTCCGGCATTTCTAACAAAGTTTTGAGACCGTTTCATTAATGTGGCAATGCATTTGTAGGTTTTTCCTTCATCTCGAAGTCGTCGGACGAGTCTTCTTAATTTCTTAATATCTTACCTTTTGCAACTAAATTCTATTTTTAATTAATTACAAATAAATGTTGTGTGTCATACACCTACAGTGACCCCATCGCATAATCGGACAAGTACCTTCTTATTATAAATGTGCTCAAAAACTATCAAAAATGTTCGAAATGGATCGGTTCCTTCTGTTTTTATTCAAGATTAACATTCTTATTATCAAATAACATACAAAAAAATAACATATTTCCAGGAAAACTCTTAATTTATAAACTAAAACATAATTATTCCATTATTTGACGCTCAACGTATAATCGGACAAAGAAAAATATGAATGAAAAAAATCGGAAAAGGATACATTTAATATTTGGTTGCGAATCCTTTGTTCTCTAGAACAGCTTGCAAGCGCCTAGGAATGGATTTCACAAATTTTTGGCACACTTGCGGCTCAATGCAGTTCCATGCTTCCAACAAAGCTTCCTTGAAGCCATTTATAGTGTTAAATTTCTCCTGGTACACTCTTCTAGCCAATTCTTCCCAGAGATGTTCAATTACGTTAAGGTTGGGGCTTTGCGCTGGCGTTTCGACCACTTTGGGACAATTATTGATCAACCAAAGCTTTGCAACACCCGATGTGTGCTTAGGATCGTTGTCCCGGTAAAAAAGCAAAGTTTTTGCGATACCCAATTTATGAGCACTTTGCTT